GGGCCCATCCCCCCCCCCCCCCCCCCCTACCCCCCCCAAAGCGAGAATTACCGCAACAACAACGGGTGTGGGGCGCGTCACCCTGCTGTCGCCCTCACCGTAACCGGCACGCGCCGAGCTTCTGCGGCGACGCTAGCGTCGGGCAATAAGCTCCTCACCGTCACGGGCAGGCGCTTCGTCCCGTCCCGCGGGTTCACCATTGGGTGGAGCACTTCCATGTGAAACATGAACGAGTCTTTTCGCGCAGCGTTGAGCCTAAAAAAGTGAAAAAATAAATGTAGGGGTTCGGCACCAGGAAAAAAAGCAAATCCATGAGAAACAGGAACGAGTCTTTTCGCGCAGCGTTGAGCCTAAAAAAGTGAAAAATAAATATAGGGGTTCGGCACCAGGAAAAAAAGCAAATCCATCAGAAACAGGAACGAGTCTTTTCGCGCAGCGTTGAGCCTAAAAACGTGAATTAGTGGAAGTGTGGAAAGAATAAATGGGGGTTCAGCATCGGGTAAAGCATGGTTTACTATCGGGTAAAGCATTTTCATGTGAAGCAGGACCTAGTCTTTTCGTGCAGCGTTGAGCCTCCTAAAAACGTAAAAAAAAAAAACAGGGGTTCAGCACGGGGAAATAGCACACCCATCTATGTGAAACACGAACGAGTCTTTTCGCGCAGTGTTGAGCCTAAAAACGAAGCAAGAAATGCGAAAAAAATCACCGGCACGATTCCCGGCACCGGCATCATTAACCGGCCTCCTCCACTGGACTACAAACCTCTGTAACGGAAAAACATAGTACTAAGTAATTATAGATACGGCTGTACCTGCTCTCGACATCGTCCTTGATGTCGTCCCACCGGGAATACAACGGCCGCCTGCCCCCGCCCGTTTCGACACTAATTTTGGCCTCAAAACGTACTACAAAACCCTGTACCCCATTGTAACGAAAAAAAAACGAGATGCCACACATACCTGCTCTCGACGTCGTCCGTGATGTCGCCCAAACGGAACACATCCGCCGCCTGTCCCGATCGATTGCGCCGCGTGTACGTGATCTCCAGCGCCCTCTGGCCGCCGCCACCTCCCGAAGAGGAACCGATTTCGCCGCTTCCCTGTCCGCCGGGGTCGCCTTGTGCGGTAGAACTCGCAGCCCCTTCCTCCCCCCGGCCGTCAGCACCAGCATGGTTGTTGTCCTCGAATGAGCTCGGCATGTCGTCATCCCTGCCAGACCACAACAAAAAAGAAGAAAACAGCCGACGGACCAAACAGCGAAGTGGTGAAAAGACAGCGAGAACCGAAACTTTTAGGTTTTCAACTGGAGAACAACAAACAGTTTTCGGGTCCAAAACTGGAAAAAAATAAAAACAGGCTTCGGGTCATAACACGAAAAATACAACAGTTTCCGGGCCCAACACTGGAAAAAAAGGTGCTCGGGATCTTCAACAAGACGGGGTTGCAGGAGTATATCTCAGAGTACGCAGCAACAGAGCGACGGTTTTATTTCATCAGCGGCGGAAAAAAAAAAACAAGTCTGATTCATGACGCATATCCAGCGTTTTCTGGGAATTACTCCGGGCAACACCATTTCTCCACAAGGTCTGCCTACTCTAGTTGCTCCGGGACATGCCAATGGTAACACGTAAAAGATTATTTATATTTCCGTTGTCTTTGGCTTGTAGAGAACGGGAGGTACTGCATCGAGGCCAGAACGATTAGACGTAAACATCAAGGCAAACGCAACATCATCACTAGATTCTAGTACTGCACCGCAAACCATAACAATTGCTGTGAGCTAACGACAAAGAACAAAATCAACACCCACAACGACGACAACAACGACAACGACTGCCATGACAAGCGCAAAACTATAGCCACCGCCGTAACAAACACGAAAACGACGACAACAACGACAACGATTGCCACGACAACGTAAAAACTGCAACCACAGACAACGACAACCCGAAAATGCATCTGACCAACAACGAGGCGTTCAGAGCATCCATTCAACAAACAGATATAAAAGCGCACCTTTGGATACCACCCGGGCAGTGTCCAGGGTGAAGGTAGTAGTGGTAAATCGAAGCCAGTTCTCGCTTCAGCGACCCTTTCTCATGGTCGGTAAACCACTGATTCGATGGTGCCCGTCGTAGCCGTCATTCATTAGTTGTTGTGGTGATAGTTTCGTCGGGTGGGGGGGGGGGGGGGGGGGGGGGGGGGGCCCTTTTTTTTTGGGGGCCTTAAGGGGGAAAACATTAACCCCCCCCCCCCCAAGGGGGGGCCAAAAAAAACCCCTTTTTCAAAGGGCCCAAAAAAGGGGGGGGGGGGGGGGGAAAAACCCCCCCCAAAAGGCCCCGGGGGGGGGGGGGGGGGGGGAATTTTCCGGGGGGAAGGGGTGCTCCTTTTTTTTAGGGGGGGGGGGGCCCTCCCCCGGGGGGGGGGGGTTTTTTTTCG